GTTAGAAGGAATCTAGATGAAAAAAGATGAACTGAGAAGAAAGGAAAGGGCTACACCATTTGCACAAAAGAAGGACACTAAATCTTGATAGGAGATGCCACCTATCTTATACAGTGGAATGACTCTAATGTTAGAAGAAATTCACAAGAAAAGAAGAAGAAAGAAGGAGAAAGTTCCATTCACACAAAGAGGGGCACATGTACTTGATAGGCGATGCCACCTATTTAAGAATACAGAAGGCCTCTACTACACACAAATTGGAGGAGGAGAAGATAATAAGAAATGGTGCAATTTCACCCCTACCCCACGGGAGTATTTACAAGTTAACGAGGAGTAAATAAATATTCTAGAAGAATAAGAATATTTTGAGAAAATAAGAATATTCTAAAAAAATATTTTGAAAGAATCAGAATATCATGGCAGAGTAAGAATATTTTGAGAGAAGAAGAATATTTTGAGAGAAGAAGAATATTCTATAAGTGGAAAAATATTATAAAAAAATATTTTGAGAGAAGAAAAATATTCTTTTTTTTTAATTTTTTAAAAATTTTTGAAATTTGGATTTAAAAAAATCTACCTCAATATAAAAGTAAAACATATATCCCGATTTTTTGCCCAAACAACCTAATACAAACATTTTGTAGACCCTGACACCATTTTTCAACGTTTCGAGATAAATTTTGACATTTTACGAAGCTAAATGAAGATTTTGGAGTAGATTTTTAGCAAATTCAACATTTCTGGAGTGCACTTTTTCGATAATTTTTGTCCCAATCAATGATCAAACCACAAAATAGTCTAACATTATAATTTATGGTGCTTTTATTGGTTCACAACCCCGATGGGAAGTCTATGTTGACATCTAGGGAGTGGTCATGCCTCGTAATTTTTCAAATATTATAATTTTGAATTGGAATGATTCGAAGAGCTCTCACATGTTTTTTTCTCTGCAGGCTTTAATGTCTAAAAATTGGGAGGCAACTAATATATCATCAAAAATTTATCTTGATCAAGCACAGGCAATTTTGAGTTTGAAATTTCCAAACTTAAATTTGGGACTATCCAAACTTTGATTTTAGCAAACGTGTAGTCAAACTAAATGTCTCAAAAATATGAACCCAACGACACTAAATTCAACTCAACCTGAGCACAAATGGGTCCAAATCGAGGACCCAAGGCTTATTTAGAAGGTTCAAACCATGAATTGGATGATCAAATAATCATCAAATATGATATACTTATAATTGAATCAAGTGGCTCGATGAGATGAATCCAACGAGCCCATGATTGTTGAATTCTAACATCATTAAGACACTCAGATACTCAATAAATGATCCATAATCAAGGGAGTTGATATTGGCCATGTCATTCCAACAAAACTATATATAGACCCTCATTCCTTGCATGAAGGGGGGCCAAGAAAGGAGGGAGGAAGGGGAAAGGAAGGAAGAGAAATATGATATCTCTCTTGCCACCAAGCTCCTCCTTGGCCACCTCCTGACTACCGACTTCCACCTAACTTCCGCCTATCCACCAACTTTCATCGGACTTACGTACAACCATCGATTATCACCAGACTTCTACCCAACCACCGACCATCATCGAACTTTCACTGACCACAAGCCATCGCCAGACTTATACCTGGACACCACCTTCGTCTACCAACTACAATCTTTCTGACCTCTATCGCGCGCTTATTACAATCTTTTTGACTGCCATCACCCAACTGTGATTCTTCTAACCTTCATCACCCAAAAATTATAGTCTCTTCAACTAAAATCTCCAAACTACGGTCTCCCCAACCATTGTTTCCTGACTACGGTCTCCAACATAACCATCACCAGACTACAGTCTTTTTGACCACCATCACCAACTATGGTCTTTTTGAGCTCTGTCGTCCATCGACTATGGCCCTTTTGACCACCGTCATTGACTACGATCTTTCTGACATCCATCTCCTAGTGACTACAGTCTTGTAACCATCGTCACCTAACAATGGTTTTTCTAACCTACGTCGCATGCTAGTTATTATCCTTCCAACAACCATCACCCAACTACAGTCTTCCAACTTCCATCACCTGACTGCAATCCTTCTGACCACTGTCACCTAACTATGATCTTTTTTTACCTCCTTCACCCACCGACCCCACCGATTATGGTCTTTTTGACCTTCATCGCATGCCGACTACATTCCTTTCTACCACCGTCACCCAACTACAATCTTTTTTACCTCCATCGTCTGACTACGGTCCTTCCAACCGCCATCACATAACTACTGCCTTTCTGACCTCCATCATTAGTCAATTATAGTATTTCCGACCTTTGTCGCCTTTCCTACGGTCTTTCCTACCATCGATACCCGATTATGGGCTTTTCGACTTCCATCGCCTACCAACTATGGTCCTTCCGACCACTATCGCCAGACTACAACTTTTTGATAGTGTGTACGTGTTTATGATTTAATTTGCTCAAAAATCTCTTTTAAATCTATCAAAACTTATTTTTAAAAGCAATTTTTGAAATCTAATAAATTTAATGTGATGAGTCTTGGGCTTCGTTTAGGACGGCTTTTTTTATTGTTTTATAAAATTATTTTTAGTGCAAAAATCTCTTGAAAGCAGTGCAAAAATAGTAGTTTAAAGTTGTTCCAAATGAAGCCTTAGTCTAACTATATTTTTAAGATAAGTTTGTTTGATAGCCTAGAGGCTACCTTATGTGTGAACACATTCATTAGTTCTCAATAGGGGAAGAAGGGGGGTTTGGATCAGTCTATCCAATTTGATTTTGAGCTAATATGAGCATTTATTGTTTTTGTCTTTTTTTGCGACATTTAGTTAGGTTTGAACTAGATACCTCTTAGTTGGAAGCCTAAGCTCTCAACCAACGAGCCAAGATGAGCTGTCTTTTTTTTTTTTTTGCCTCGAATTCTAACTTTTCAAGCTTCATTAGAATCATCATAATGAGAATCTCATTTAAAATATAAATTCAAATTGGTCAGAGTTCAAATGTTCTCTTAAATAATTTCTTACAACTTTTTTTTGTTTAGAATGAATTTAAATGCCTTAAGAAGCTTAAAAAATTATCCTTAATTAGATAGTGATTCTTTATTTTTCAAAAAATACTGTAAAAATACAGTTGATAGTTTAAATGTAAAAATATTGTGTTTTTTTATTACTTTATAAAGCTATTTTTAGTACAAAATTTTTTTTAGTATAATTTTTTTTTAACTTTAGAAAAGTCGTAAGAAAAACGTCCCAAATGAAGTTTAATAATTATTTATTTGAGATGTTATTTTATTGCTTTCTAAAATAATTTTCAAGTAAAAAAAAAATTAGTTCAAAAATTTGTATTAAAAAACTATTTTAAAAATAATAATAAAATTATCACAAATAAAACCTAAATAATAATGTAAATATCACTTTCTATCAATTTTGTATATTTATTTAATCGCACACGCTATCTTACTATGTGTGATAGTTACAGAACATTTAGTTTACTAAGCCTAATGATGCATAAATTAAGGGCTGTCTGCAAAAACGATACATACGGAACTCTTCCATAACCGACAGCAACTTCTTCATCCACGGATATCGCCGTTCTAAAATGCTGACACGTCAATTTTTTTTATTATAGAAATAAATTTATATTATTAGTTGATAACTTGATATTACTGAATTATTAAATAAAATAAATATAATTAAGTTAATAAATATTCACAAATATAATCATGTTAAAAATTTTAATTATTTTATTTAATAGTTTGGCGGTATTTATCTAAAAATTTAGTTATGTTTATGTAATAAAATAATTGTATTAGGAGATAACTGAAATTAATGTCAAATATCATAACAAATTTTAATTCTCAAACAAAATATATTATAATATATAAATAAAAATAAATAATGTAGAGGAATTTAACAAGGCTTTGAAAATCAAATCGGACCGATCGGTTCAACTAGTTGAACCGTGAACTGGTCGACCAACTGATTGTTGTTTACTCCATAACAAATTTCGAAGCGTTCAAAATGGCAGTTCAACCATCGAACCGTAAAATTGGTACCAGTTTCAAAAATCTAGTGCTTTCAATCAAATGTTTTTTGAGCCATTGATATTAAATATGATAGTTTAAAAAGGTAAAACTTATACGAAAAAAAACCCTATTGTTCATTTTCTTCCATGTTCATACGTAACTTCCTCCCGACCCCCGTCTCGTGCTCCTTCGTGAAACCTACTCCAAATCGAAGCCGCCCGCCTCGTGCTCCTTCACCTACTTGAATTTCATTAATGCTTCACGTAGGACAACATTCTTGAAATTTCTTCTAGGTGATTGTTTCATCTACTTGAATTTTTTAATTAAAATATTGGTGGATTCAATTATAATGAAATTGTTTAATTAAAATTTTGCTTATTTATTATCTCATATTTATTTCATCTTCAGAGCATCACAATTATAGGTGAAAACTATAAGATATCAAGAGAATATTGGATTTTGTTACTCAAGTTATGATTACAAAGAAGTCAGTTGCTCAAAACAATAATAAATTTAATTTTAAATTTAATGAATTTATTTATTATGTTTCTTTTATGCTTCATATTATGATTTTGTCAAATTTTTTTAGTATATAGGTACAAATGATTTTGATATTATTATAATATTTAAATATAATATGTATTTATTACATCATCCGGTTCAACTTCGGTCGAACCATCGAACTGCTAACCTCTCCTTCTTCCGGTTCGTCGTCCAATCCGATTTTCAAAGCCTTTGAATTTAATGTCCATATCCTATAAAAATTTCTCAAATTTATAACTAAGTGTATATTCAGGGCAGAAAGTTGGGGAAAAAAAAAAACTTTATGCCACTTCTTTTAACAACTTAATCAGTAGACGCTACAAAATTTAACTATTTATAAATTATTAATTATTTGATAAGAATAAATTAGAAAGAGCAGAAAGGGTAGATAAATATATATATATATATATCCGAATTGAATAAGTTTTAGGGAGTAAAACAAATGCGAAGTGATAAAGAGGAGGAAGGTAGAAGGGAGGACGAAAACACCGTCGCCTCTGCTTTTTTTCCTTTCTACGTCTCTCGCTGTCTACAGTGTCTAGGGTTTAATCTTTCTCTTGTAAAGGGGAAGAGGAATGGACGCTGCGGCCCACTCAGCCGATGCTGAAATGGCGGAGGCGGGGCCGCCGCTCGCGCATCAGGCGGCCGCGGGTTTGGTACAGCCGCCGGGGCTGGAGAGCATACAGGCCACGCTTAGCTATGGTGGCAGGTTCATCCAGTATAACATTTTCGGGAACGTTTTTGAGGTCACGTCCAAGTACGAGCCACCCATCATGCCAATCGGGAAGGGAGCATACGGGATCGTCTGGTGCAATTTATATTTCTCCTTGTTTTTTGCACCTTCTTCATTATACCTGTTGATTTTTCGTGTAAATTTTTGCATTGAGACGCTTATTCTTAAGTTTGGATTTGATAAAGTTGGCTGTTTTTCGTGGCTTCAGCTCGGCGTCGAATTCGGAGACAGGGGAGAAGGTAGCGATTAAGAAGATTGCTAATGCTTTTGACAATAAGATTGATGCAAAGAGGACTCTGCGGGAGATTAAGCTGCTTCGGCATATGGATCATGAAAACGTGAGCTGAGATGTCTTTTGTTTTCTTTAGCTGTGAGAATGTGCGGCGTGAACGCTGGTATTTGGGTTATGCAATTCAAATTTGAACTTTTTTGTAACGATGCGGTTACCTTTTGACTGGCTTTTGGCGAGAAATTAGCTATGTATTTGAGCAAGGTTTTTGAATATCGTGGTTTACTCCCATACTTCCTTTGTGCGGGCATGGAAGCCCATCCTGCCATATTCGATTTAAATAGAAACAATTTGAGCCTGAAATGAATATGAACTGAAATGGAAGACTACTGATTCATTACATGCATATGAACTTGGATTTTTGCATTTGCTGCACTCTTTTTATTTTCTTAACATGTTAGGTGCTCTGTATGATTCTTTAAAGAAAGCTGAGCTGTCTTTTAAGAAAATCTTTCATTTGGATTTGGGATTTGTCAAATAAGAATATTTTTTAAGGGTTTCCATAACCATGTTCCCATGCCATATTTCAGACATGAGATATTCCATTAATATTGCATTGGATTTATGCCTTTTATTTGTAAAATTCCCTACTTAGAAATTTAAAATAGGTAGAACTAAATTTTCAATTTTGGATAAATGATATAATGTGGTATATTATGTTTGTTATCTTACTAGAATGTTGCTATTCACTGTTCAATTATTTCCCACAAACCATGCAGATCATGCTTGTAAAACTCGTGTGCATATGCAAAGTGTGTAATTATTATTATTTTTTGGTTTACTTTTGCTCGATCCATGAGTTTACTCGATGCACATATGCATCTCATTCTCTCTCTTTTCACACTCACAACAGTGCAACATTTGTTCTACTATATTCGTATTTTATCTTGTTCCATTTCATTGCACGCTTTCATGCTTTATGGCTTATGTGTAGTCTCCTCTTCCTTTGATAGGCTTCCCTTTTCTTACATGTTTCAGAAATTTTATTCAAAATTTATGCCACATATTTCAACATTCAGAGTCCAGAGGTGTACTTTTCATAGTTTCCCAAGTGAATGTAAAAACTAGCCTTATTTATGGTGCACATGCTTTATTCTTTGCAGGTTGTTGCAATCAGGGATATAATACCACCACCCCAGAGGGAGCCATTTAATGATGTATACATTGCGTATGAGCTTATGGACACTGATCTCCATCAGATAATTCGTTCAAATCAAACTCTGTCTGAGGAACATTGCCAGGTTATGAATTATTATCAATCAAGATTCTCTCTTTCATTATATCCAACTGGGACAATTTTTTATTCAAATGAAATATTTGTTTGATATACAATAAATACTTTTTTTTGCATAGTGTGGCATACATATTGTGTCTGAAAACTTCACAGCAAGAAGTTTCAGAAACTATCATTTAATGATTTCCTAGTGATAGCTTAAATAATCTTTTCTCTCAATATTTTAGCCAATAATATTCATAAATTTGTGATATATAATAAATATTTATTTGCAGCCTATTGCAAGATGTATATTTACTATAATAATATGCTATGCTGCTATGATTGTGGCCATAAGTGTTGTTAAGCATTTGTTTTGCCTTTGAGGGGTGGCAAATTGACATATTTATTTGAGTCTAACTAGTATAATATTTGTTTTTTTAATGAAGGGTATTTTGTGTTTGCTATAAAAGCTTTTATTAATAGCATGATTTTCTTTAGTGTTAAAAAAAAAATACTTAGCAGGAAGATTTTCACAGTATTTAGGTAATCTTTCAATTTTATTTTTTTTGTTGTTTTCTCTTCATAAGCTTTTATTTTCAGCTTGCCCTGAGAGATGTGCGAAGTAAAATGGAGTTCTTGAGAGCTCTTCTTGAGCTCTTTTTGCGAGAGAGAGAGAGAGAGAAACAAAATTTGGAGGAAAACTTATCCTAAAGTTTTATTCCAAAATTTTGCCAAATCAATACATCTCATATAATGTCTATGTATAGACATTAGACATTTACATTGTTGTGGTAATCTACATGAATAATTTATATTAAAACTAAACCAACACCTCACAATCTTCACCTTGGTCTAGGTTTTACAATCAAATAACCACCTATATAGTTACGACAACCACATTGGCTTCATGTACTAAATCCACAAGCAATCCCGTCGAACCGAGCTCAATCCCGCTCGCGAATGACCTCCATCGTGCGTTCCAAACCACGACTCCAGCTCATGCTCCAACACTGACTCGTCAGTATTCCTCGGACACTCCTGCGCGCTCCAACCTGCGACCTTGCACTACACCTATTTGATTTTGAGTCCGTGAACAACTTGTCGTCGAGGTTCTTGATTTTATCCATTGCTCTGACACACAACATCAAATAAACCTCCTCACCGATCAACTTGTAATCAAACCTGGAAGCTCTACCTCAAATATCTGAATGGGTCTTTAGTAAAGAACAAGAAAAACATCTTGAATATTTGGCCTTCGGATCGATCTTTAATTAAGAAAAGAGAAATTCTGCTTTCATTCGGGTCGTTGCCTTGTCAACACCCGCAATCTGCGGCTAAATCCCCAGCTCCTACATGGATGTTGCCCCGAGGTTCACCTAGAAATTTTTGTTGTTTTGTATAGGTTGTTAAACGTAAGCTATTGTCTCAAGGCTAACCAAGAGGGGATGAATTGGTAATTTGCAATTTCTCTTGGATTTTTTAAATAGAAAACTGATTTTAAAACTCGTAGCAAGTTAATTTAAGTTTTTTTTTTTAAATAAAACTTTTCAACCACAATAAATAATTTGCAGTAAATAAAATGCGGAAATTAAAAGACAAAGATTTATAGTGGTTCGGTCAAATATGACCTACGTCCACTCCCTGAAGACTCCCTCTTCAGGTATTGCACTATTACCAAAATGTCTCTCCTTTTGCCCCCACAGCAAGGTGGAGAAGCCTTTACAAAACCTCTCTTTCACCAATCCCCGGTGTGGCAGAGAATTGTTGTCCTTTCACACCCTCCAATTGTCGGCAGAGAACTGTCGTTTGTTTACACTCTCCAAGTGTTGGCAGAGAACCGTCATCCTTTCACACCCTCCAAGTGTCGGCAGAGAATCGTCGTCCTTTTATACCCTCTAAGTGCGGCAGAGTACTTGTTCAACGATCTTCTCACGAGCAACTAGAAAGAAGAAAAAAAGAGTAATCATCAAAATCACAAAGAGATCCTTACGTTTGAGTAATCTTGTGAACCCTTCATACTCCACTTATAAGAAATCTCTCTCAAACACTCTCCCACACTCTCTTTCACTTGCTCTTGAAAAATCATGAAGACAAGACTTTGTCACATCAGTTTTAGTGGACCTTTTATATTAAAGACACGAAAAACATCCAGAAAATTGAAATTTTTTATTTTGAGCGTACACCATTGTACAGTACGATCGTATGTTCGTACGTACGAATAGTTCAAAAATTATTGTGTACGAACCTGTTGTGAATCGATACGAAATGTTTTTGTACACTCTGATCGTCCGGTACGAACCAAGTTTGCCCGGTACGAACAGTTAGAAAAATTTTCGCCTTCGTCGGGACGAAGAGGGGCTCCACAATTTCATACTCTGGATGGCGTACGTATGATGACAACATCATATGATACGATTAGTTACGAAAATTTTCAAGTTCATCTGGACGAAAAGGGACCCATCTAATTCGTACCCTGGACGACTTACATACGATTGTTATATCGTACAGTACGATCTGTACTTAGAAAAATTTTATGCTTCCTGTTCGTTTGACTGCTCGTTTGGGAAAAATAACTGATCAAATCATCCCGTACGAAAAGATTTCGTACAGTACGATCAGATTAAAAATTGTAGATTTTAAACTCTCCCCCGGTGTGTGTGTGTGCACAGTTACTCAATTACAATCACACTCTCAGACTCAATAAAATGAAAAATACAAACTTCGTTTACAATAAATTATAAACTGATATGATCTGAAATTTTCAACAATATGGAGTATGATTTCCCTAAAATGTTAGTACACAAACAGCAAAACAATGCATCCAAGATATGTTAGAAGAAATAATAATCAAAGCAATAATATTTGGAATCGTCAAAAACATACATGTTGCAAGAATATCAACAATCAAAAAATAAGTTGCAACTATCTCAAACAATTTCTGCTTCCCGCTTGTCACTGTCGGCGAACCATCTTTGTGCCCGTCGCTGACTATCAAACTTCCGGCCGGAAACCTCAACATCTGACTCGACGACAACATCCACACAATGCATCCAAGATATGTTAGAAGAAATAATAATCAAAGCAATAATATTTGGAATCGTCAAAAACATACATGTTGCAAGAATATCAACAATCAAGAAATAAGTTGCAACTATCTCAAACAATTTCTGCTTCCCGCTTGTCACCGTCGGCGAACCATCTTTCTGCCCGTCGCTGACTATCAAACTTCCGGCCGGAAACCTCCACATCTGACTCGACGACAACATCCACACAGCCCTAATTATGTTCCAAGCTCGGCCAACATGCGATCTCCTTCAGGCCTTTTGTCTCCACTTCAGGCACGGCCCAAGCGTGCTCCGCACGCGATCCTACCCGCGATCAAGCACTTGATCTCGCTGGTCCCGATCGCGCCAACCCACTTCCGCTCACACTGGCGCACACTGCACAGACTTCCGCCGCGCCCTGCTCGGCCTTCCGTCAAGTTCCTCCGTGCGCTTCCGAGCACCCGACCTGGGCGATCTCACTCCTTTGCGAGCTCCGCCCATTTTACGCAAATCAGAGCCACTTGCCTCCGACCAGTGTCCACACGAAGGTGATCTCGTTCTTTGTCCGCCTCTAAATCTCCAATCGTCTTCCACTCACGCGCGAATGAACACTTGGATGGAACTTTCAAGCTGCTTCCTCTCTTGCCTCCTGCTTTCCATCCAGCCTCAAGATCACCTTAACGAGGCTCTGATACCATTTGTTAAGAAAAATGGAGGAGTTCTTCGGAGCTCTTCTTGCAAGAGAGAGAGAGGGAGAGGGAGAGGGAGAGAGAGGGGAGGGAGAGAGATAAAATTTGTAGGAAAACCTATCTTAAAGCTTTATTTCAAATTTTCCTCAAATCTATACATCTCATACAATGCATATATATAGGCATTTATATTATTATGGTAACCTGCAGGAATAACCTATACTAAAACTAGATCAACACCTCACACAACTCGGTCTAACATCCAGGATGTGTGAGGTTGTGAAAACTGGACCGGGCAACAAACCAGAAGAGTGAGAGGTTCACGGTTCGATCCGGGGTTGAACTGGATGATGTAATAAATACTAATTTTATTTTAAAAAAATAAATAATCAAAATAATGATGCTATTATTGTAAATTATGTGACAAAAAATTAACGAGAACAAAAAATTATGAATAAAAAATACACAAATAATTAAAATAGCTCTTTTAAAATAAAAACTAAAAAGATATATAAAGTATTTGAGAAAGAATAAACGACAGAAAAATAACAAATTCTCATAATAACTATCAGGATAACATCACAAAATGCTTTTTCATAGGAAGCTCTATTCAAAATCAATCCTTGGCGAGATAATAGTAGAGTTGTGAATTGTTCAACCTTTTTACTTGTTTTAAACTTTTAATTTATTTCCTAATATGTAACTTTATTATCGGAACCGGCATTGGAGTGCTGGCAAAACACAAGATCCGAGTGATATCTAAAAATTAAAATCTTGCAATCTGTATTGCCCCAGGTCGAGTCGGGAAGAGGAGTTCTTCAAAGAAAATAGAAAATCAATTAGAAAGAGCAGGAGAAGCCGAGAAGAATAAGATACCCGGGAAATAGAAATATCAGGAAAGAAGGCGTCGTTTGTCCGTCTCTTCTCGTCGTTCGTCTCTCCCAGTTATTCTCCTCCCAGGCTTCCGTCATTTGTTTCTCCAGGATCGTTCATCTCTTGTGT